ATGATATGATTTCTTGCATAATATGCATTCTGGTTGCCGCTCGGTGTTTGTCTTTCAGCTAGAGCACAGGGAAAAAAAAAAAACATATCTGAAATGGGATGGGAGCAACCTTTATTTTGCTTGTTTCATCAGGAGGAGAAAGCAAATTTGCTTTGTGGGAGCAGCAGCACCTGCTCAATGGCAAATAAATAGCTACAGCTTTGATATTACAGCGGGTAGAATCATTAGCAGCACAAACTGCAGAGGGTTAACCCTTCACGTGCCAGCTTGAGCTACCTGGCAAAGAGGTGGCATCTTGTTTCTGCTGCAGAAATGCTCTGTGAGCGCAGCTGGAGCAGGGCTGAGGCTCCAGGACCACTCAGGACCAACCTTCCTAGCCCTGTGTTGCACCAGCAGCATGGCTACAAGTCATTGTCTGGGCATTCCTCATCCCTTTGGCACTGGCATGGTGGCCACCCCATGCTCTGCGTCACTCCTCTGTGCATGATGGAGCTGGGAGGGATGGATGGACATGTGTGCAGGGGCAATGGGGCATGTGCCAGGGGCTGCTGACATGTGGTGGTGGATCACAGGTCCAAAACACCCTGGTTGAGGATGTGTTTGTCAGCCAGCTTGCGTTGAACCCCTTCCCTGGTTGCTCCCTGCCTGTTCTGCCTGATCTTCTCCCACAAGACAGGAACCAAAACACAACCAGGGCTGGGGAAACACTGAGCCCATTGGAAGGTGGACAATAAGGTTTGTAAACCTCATCTGAAGCAGAAACCACAGTGATGTAAATGACTGCTTAAGAACTGCATGGTGGGGCTGGGGTCTGCACATTGGCCCTCTGGAGATACGATGCCCCAGCCCCATCCTGGACATCTCAGGGGGTGAAGGGTCTGGAGCACAAGTGTGATGAGTTCCTGGCTGAGGGAACTGGGGTTGTTGAGCCTGGAGAAAAGGAGGCTGAGGGAAGACCTTGTGGCTCTGTCCAAGTCCCTGAAACGAGGGTGGGGAGAGGCAGGTCTGTGTCTTTTCTCCCAGGTAACTGGTGACAGGACAAGAGGAAATGGCCTCAAGTTGCCCCAGGGGAGGTTCAGATTGGATGTCAGGAAAAATTTCTTCACTGAAAGGGTTCTCAGGCACTGGAATGGGCTGCCTGGGGAGGTGGTTGAGTCCCCGTCCCTGGAAGTATTTAAAAGACAGGCAGATGAGGTCCTCAGAGATCTGGTTTAGCAGTGGACAGGTACAGTTGGACTCAATGATCTCAAAGGTCTTTTCCAACCAAAGGATTCTATGATTCTAAATCTGGGACCACAGCCCAGCCCCAGATCAGATCCTCCAGCCTCAAGTCCACCCTCTTTTCCTATGCCAGGAAGAAGGGAAGCTTTCTTCATCTCAAACTTTGGTCATCATTGAGGAAGAATGTCCAGATTTGGCTCTTGCTTGCCTACTTTGCCATCGCTGTGTTGGTTTTTCACAGGTTGCTCTCTGCAGTGAGGATGTGAAGACACCCAAACCCACTGTTATCAACAGAGATAGGAGCAGCACACCAGGTGAAACACTTCCCTTTTCCACCTTCCCACCTCATCCCAGAACACAATGCTCCTGCCTTGCAATGAGCCAAACCACACTCTGGTGCAGCCATGTGGCAGCCTGGACTCCCAGGTCCCAGGAGGATTTTAACCAGGAGCTGTCCCACTTGGTCACTGTCCCTTCCTAAGATGTGCCAAGAGACAGCTTGGCATGGGCTGCTTGTCTTCATCGTGAGTGTGTGTGTCATGTCCTGCAGTCCTGAGGAGAAATGATCTGCAGGACAGCCTAGACACTTGTTTCCACATATTAAAGACATTTTGCTAATGTTTTGGGGTTTTTTTTTCCCCCTTTTTTCCTCTCCCTTGCCTTATGAATCAAAACAAACTGAACTGGGGATGCTGGCAGAGGAAAGCAAACAGTGACTAAATAAACTTTCTTCGTGAGAGAACTTTGTGAGAGTGAACGTGACACATCGCACAAAACCAGCAACAGGGTCCCAGAGCCAAAGATAAATAACATCCCTCCAGCCAGAGTCCCGGGCAGGAGGTAGCTGTCATGGGAGAGAAGTATCCAGCTGGAGACAAAGCCAGGAAGTTAATATTTAAGCATTCAGACAAGGAACAAATGACTTAATTAAATCAATTACAGAGGGAGAAATGGAGCCACTTAGAAAACGTGTGTAAAGAGCCAGCAAGGCTGCTGCGATCTCATAAAAGAGACGAAGGGAGAGTTAGCAGGGGGAAAATCAACGGACTGGTTTAATCCCGGCTGCTAATTAAGAGCTGAGCATTTGCACTGCACTGAGCCAGGGTCGCACCAGCACTTCCATTACAGCAACCACATTTCAGTGCCTGATCCACAGAGATATTTGTGACCAGATGAGGAAAGGAGAGGCAGGCTGAGATGATGGGAGAGAAGAAAGCAGGAGTAAGAGGCATGTAAAAGCTTTTCCATGTTACTGAACCTCCCACAACTCATACCAACAGCCCAAACCCAGCCTGGGCCCTGTAGCGTCCCAGGCAGCAGGGCTGGGATTGAGCTCCTGCACAGGGAGGGGACCTTCCTCCCTTCTTCAGCACCAGAGGCTCCTGCATGGTCCCTCTCCTGGTTTCAGCTACGACAGAGCTGGGTTTCTTCTCAGTAGCTAGAAAGCACTGTGTTTTGGTCTCAGTGTGGGATTTGTTATCAGAAGAATGCTGACAATGTACTGATGTTTTTAATTATCGCTGGAAGTCAAAGGACTTTGTGTTTTGCGGGTCTGCAGGTGCAAGGTCTGTGGGGGCGAGGAATATTAAAATTAGTAACCCAAATTGGCATTTGGCTCTGCCAATGGGATATTCCATATCATAGAATGTCATGTTCAGTATATTAATGAGGATCTCCGGGCTCGCTCTCTCTCTCTCCCTCTCTCTCTTCGGGGATTGTGGTTTCGGTTCAGGATTGTCACTCCTCTGGAGTCGTTATCTGGGAACAGGTCAGGCTTGGTTGTCGAGTGGTGACGAATGGCACTGGGTATTACTCATTTGCATATTCTATTATTACTATTGTTACCATTATTATTTTAAGTTTTATTGTATTTCAGTGATTAAATTGTTCTTACCTCACTCTATGAATCTCCTTACCCTTGCCCCCCAATTCTGTCCCCTGGGGAGGGGGAGAGTGAGCGAGCAGCTGTATTTCACTGTCAGCTGAGTTAAACCACCACAATCCCTTAGGGATCCATCCAAATGATGATCATGGAAACATCAAAGGGACACTACCTAGTACAGAGACTCCAGATGGATCAGCAAAAGGGCTTTCATCCCAGAAGGTGCTTTGCTCTTGGGCTCAACTTGATTCAGGGTAGCAAGCAAGACTGTTTCCTAGGATGACTTCCATACAAATTATTTTTTGCCTCCCAAATGGACACCCAATGGGAGACAGAGCCAGCCTGACACTGTCAGCCAGGCTCTAGGAGAAGGGCTGGCTGCTCACGGGGGATTGTCAGTTCAAGCATGTTTGGGTTCAGAGACGCATCACACACAGCGTCAGATCTTGCTCTGCCTGATAAAAAGACACACTTGCTACGGAAAGTGTCCCCTGGGGTTTTCTCAATAGGCCACAAGCAATTACAGGCTTTTGTAACTGACTCAGCATCAACAGAACAGTTACAGCAGGACCTGGAAGTCTCCCTGTGAAGCAAACTGAAAGCAGCTGACAGCTTTGGGGCAGGAAGGTTTCCTCTGCGAGGCTACTTCAGACATCTCCTTCCTAAGCTTTTAAAGCCTTGATGTTGGATTTGAGGCCAGCCATGTAGAGAGTTAACAGTTTGCAGCCAGTTTGCTGTCACTCCTTGTAAGTAAATAAGCAAATACAAACCCATCTCCCATCTCAGGCTGTAAAACCCCATGTCACGGAAAGGCCACTGGTGTTTTTGCCAAGTATGATCTTTTCAAGAATAATTAGTTGTCATAAAAATTTGCTTTTCCCCATGTAACAACAGAGAATTTTACTACAAAAGGGGCAAAGCAAACTGAGCACATCCTTCTGCAGCCCCACCCCTGCCTGTGACGTGGGTCAGACCCTCCCTCCTTGGGGCAGGTGGGTGGCAAAGACCTGCATACAGGACACCCTGGGGAGGTGTCCAGGGGTGAGGTCACATCACCTCTGTGCCAGCTTGGGGCTGGGAGCACAGCATGCAAACCACTCCAGCATCACTTCAAGTGGCTGTGGGCACTTCAGCATCACTCCTGAAAACAGCCTCTGTTTCTGTGCACACACTTCAGCTTGTTTAAGCCCCCGGCCATGCTCCGAAGGTGCTCGGGGAGACTCTGTCACACTGTATCATGGAAAAACACACTTCAACAGGAAAAAAAAATATAAAAAAATCAGTAACTCACTTGTTTTTGTTCTTCTCCCAAACTGTCCCACATCGACGCAACAATTTTTGATACGTCTCCGAAGGTCGCGTTGGGGTTTTGCCCTTTGATGGCTGCTTGTGTGTCTCTGAAAAACAGGGCGTAGGCTGACACGGGCTTCTGGGGCTCATTGGGATCCTTCTTTTTCTTCTTCTTTTGGCTTTTTGGCTTCTTGCCCAGGTCTGTTGATGGTCTTTTCTCTCCAGTAACCTGCAAAACCAGGAGATGACCCATAGCAGTCAGGTGGGAGCAGTGCGATATGAGTCCCTACTACAGGTTGTTAGCAGAGGGGACGGGGTAGGGCACGGGCAGAGGAGGGCTCCCAGCGAGGTGAGGAGGGCAGCAGCCCTGGGGGGGTCTCTTTGGCCCCCAGAAGCCTCTGGAATCATTACACAAACTGCTGGTGGGTGCCTGAGCCTGGCTTGGGTGCCTCCTGGCAGCCCAGTTCACAGCCTGGGTTTGCCCCTTGCTGCTCCAGTGGTCCCTGCTCCAAAGCTAGAGCTTTCCAGATGTCCATCCTCTGTCACCTCCTTCCCTCTCCTCCTCGGCATCACAAGCTCACTCACTCCTTGATCCTTTTCTGGAACCTCTCCAAACACCCTCCTTCCCAGCCAGATCCCTTTAGCAGCCCATTAATTTTTCCAAACTCACCTTCCACATGGTTTCTGATTTCCAGCCCAATAATCCCCCTTTGCCAGCCACTCCTGACTTTCGGACTTTCCTCACCCACACCTGCACCAGTGGCTCAGCCTCCCCACCCCCAGGCAGGAGGGTCCTGAGCATTGACCAAGCAGCACCAGCATCACATCAGCCATCACACTGGGGCCATCTGAAATTTGTTTCACCCTGCTAACAGGTATGGACCTACCTATGGACAGGGCTCTGAGCAACCTGCTCTGGTTGAAGGTGTCCCCGCTCACTGCAGGGGGGTTGGAACTAGATGGACCTTGAAAGGTTCCTTCCAACCCAAACCATTCTGTGCTTCTATGTAACAAGTATCTTTCCTTATCCAAGAAAAATATCCAGGAATTAAACTATTTTAATCTTATGTATTAAACACTCTTTACGACCAGTTCGGGTGCAGCTGGATGACCAGGTCTGGCTGCATCCATGCTCAGTTGCCCTGTGGTGGTTGGACCAAGAGGAGCAGGACACAGGGAACAGTAGTTGGACTTTGTGGCTGCTCAGCACGAGACACTGCCACCGGGCTGGGAAGTAAAACAGCAAGGCTGGAAACAGGGATGCTTCCAGTGAAGGTAGCACAGAAAGAAGATCCCACGGCTGAGCCTCCGCAGGAATGTCCTGGGCAGTGTGTTGAGTATATGGGACTGCAGAAGCTTCTCGGTGTGGGTGTGCAAAGGAAAAGACACCTGGAAAGCACCTGGACATACATCAAAGCCCTAAACACATTACCTGTGCTCAGTGAAAGCTTGCACTACAGGGAAGTATCATTATCCGTATTTTATAGCAGAGGAAAAACTAAATTGGCACAGGTTGTCCAGGGAGGTGGTGGAGTCACCTTCCCTGGTGGGATTTAAAAGACGGGCAGATGAGGTGCTCAGGGACATGATTTAGAGGTGGAATTGGTAGTGTTGGGTTTATGGTTGGACTTGGTAATGTTAAAGGTCTTTTCCAACCACTATGATTGTATGATTCAGTGAAATACACCAAATGTTAAAGATGGTAGAGAAAAAAAGTGTTTGCTGCCAGTTGGCTGCTGCAGTCTGGATCTCTGCATCCTCGAGGGCAAACAGGGTGCCAGCACCTTCCTCCGCTTGCAGACCCGCTGGCCTCAGGCACTAAGGGCTCAGACACTACCTGACTTTGGTAGTCCCTGCTCTACCAAGTGCACAGGCTGATTGGGTTAGTTCTACCACTTAGAAAGTTAAGCAGTCTGTCACTTAGAGGTCTAAAAAAATAAATAAATTATTATTTTTTTTTTTTAAATCAATTGACACGGGTCTAAACACCCAGGTGTTGTGAAAACTGTGTGTCCTGGTGAGTGCTGGGAGCAAAAGGCCTTTTCTCCTGATGGATTTGCTGATGTGATTGTGTGGATTTAAGAGGCTTCACTTCAGCTAGCAGAGGCCAGGCATGGGCAGGAAAGGGTAGCAGAGCTCCTGTTCTCCACTCAGCAGCTCTTGACTGGTCATTAAGTTCAGTATCAGCGCAGTGACATTTGTCAAACAGACAGTGACCATTAGTGAATGAGCAGAGAGACCAAAAAAATTGCATTTAATTTAAAATTGACCAATTGGGCTTGAACGGGAGGCCTGGAGGTGAAAGGGCAGCTTATTAGGAGAAAAAAAAAATGCATGACAGGGCTTCAGCCCATTAGCAAGTGAGATGGCATTTTAACGAACTCTAATCCTGCCTGATTCACTGAAGTGCCGTGGGGAGACCTGCTCTCCTCACAGCCAGTGACCAAGCAAAGGAGCTGGAAGAGGGACTATGCAACCACAGCCAGGATGACACTTTACACTCGGTCCTGCTTCAGCAGCACCAAAGAGCAAATGGAATTTATGGAGAACAGATGCTGCCCACAAGGCTGCCTGGAGCCGTCAGTTCCCCAGAGGGAGCAGAACAGGACTTTGCCTGATTTTCCTGGGCTTTACCAGGTGTGACACAGCATGGGATGAGACAACAGCCCAGAGAAGATGCTTCAACAACCTAAGCCATGTTCATGGCTAAGGGCAAGCTCTGGTGAGCTAGCACCTCACTGTCCCAGAGCAACTGCAACCCCCAAGGGGTGAGCCATGGTCCAAGCAACTGTGAATGCTCCAGCAGTGGGATGAAGTGTGTGGCCACCAGCCCCTGCATGGACCTGCTCTGGAGAGGCAGCAGAAGGTATGTTTAACACCAGCTGTGGACTGGGGCAATTCACTGGTGACAGATGTGATCCCATAAACTGGTGGCTTGGTGCCTTTTTAGATGTTGCCCATCTTTAGAGGTTGCCCATCTTTAGAGGTTTTTTAGATGTTGCCCATCTTTAGAGGTTGCCCAAGGAAGCTGTAGATGCCCCCTCCTTGGAAGTGTTCAAGGCCAGGCTGGATGAGGCTTTGAGCAACCTGGTCTAGTGGAAGGTGTCCCTGCTGATGGCAGGGGGGTTGGAACTGGATGATCTTTAAGGTCCCTTCCAACCCAAACCATTCTATGATTCTATGATTCTATGTTGAGTCTGTGAAGAGCTGAATCATGGACATCATGATTTTAATAACTATGGAGAGAGACTACTCATCCACCTGGAGTCTGGGTTGTAACTACCTCTCCCTCCCATCCATGTGTACCCCTGGAAGCAATCAAGCAGGTAAATGCACCAGTGAGGCTGGGAGACCTAAAATCATAAGCTCCCTGGCTCAGAGGACCTGCTGGACCTGAACTACCTACTGGCATCAGACCCATTTCTTTAACGTGTGACCTTCCTGGTCACAAGATTAATTTCTGCTTGGTAGACGTTGCTTTGATGACTTGTTGCAGAAAGACCCTTAACAGCCATATGAAAAATGACCGATGGGTGCACACAGCAGCTGTGTAGATAGAGAAAGCAAACAGAAACCCACAGGCCATAACATGCTTCTGCTGCTTTCTGACTCTTCCAGTCTCCTTCCTCCATTAAATCCATCACTCCTGTTCCTCCTGTCTTGCTGGGCACTTTATAGGGCAGAAAAACGAGGGGGTATGCCTTTAGGATTAGGAAAAAATCCAAATATCTGCAAGCTCTCATAAGCTGGACATCTCCAAATTCTTCCTACCCCCAAAGGCATCACTGGCTCAATGAGAACAGAAGATCCAACCCCAAAGCTGTGTCCTACCCTGTGACTCCTGCAGTCCAGGACGGCCATGAGGAAAGCTGGGTGATGCTGAAAGAGGCAGAGAGAACTGGGAGTGTAACTAAACTAAAACTCATTTTCTGCTGACGTGAAAGATTTTAGGTCCCAGGTAATGGCCTGGAGCTGTGTGACACGGGCTCTGGTTGATGGCAGACCATGGGGTCCAGCGGCACAACCCAGCCCATATTGTCCCCCAAATGTAGAAGCGCAGAGTTGGAGAAACTTCATCTATTTTCAATCACTTCTATCCCTTCTTTTTACAGTTTTATTCCACGGAAGCTGTTTTCACATCCACATGTGCACTTTGCTTTGAGATGTCCTAATCTGAAGTGAAAGCTGCCTACAGATGGAAAACTACAGGGCTGATGGGAATCCATTTGCCTGGATTTCCATGGAAAGGGAAAGGTTTCTGCTCAGTCCTAGTGTTTTCATAGTTTTCCAGTCTCTGCTTTTCTCTGCTCTGATTATATATTCAAATCCTGTCACAACCATTTGTTTTTGCAGGACAAGGTTACAATACCAGAGCTTCTGGTGTCATTCTTGGATCAGTGCCTTCCAGGAGAAGGTTTTCTGTGAAAGGCTTTAATCAAAGTCCCCCCAGTGACTGACCTGCAGGCACAGAGACCCACCAGGTGTTGAGGCAGCAGCCCTGGGATTGCTCCAATTTGCCCTCAGTGAAGAACAGCTGGAAGACTCAGGGAACAAAGCAGGAGTACTTTGCTTTGCTGGTGAGTTTTGATAAAGATGGGCAACAACCAAGATGACCCCAAAACTCTAGGAAACCCTTGGGTTTCTTGGTGCCATGCTCAGCAGCAGTTGTGTTGGCTGTAGAGGCAGACTCTGTGCCATTAAGACATTGCTGACTACCTCTACCTGCCACCAGAAATCTAATTTTGCACCCAAGCGTTTGCAGAACCTTAGCCCTGAACCTGCTTTGCTCATCAAAATCCTCATCAGAGGAATCACAGAATCCCAGCATTGCCTCGATTGGAAAAGACTTTTCAGATCACTGAATCCAACCATTAACCCAACATTGACCAGTCCCCAACTAACCCATGTCCCTCAGCACTATGTCTACACAACTCTTCAACCCCTCCAGGGATGGGGACTCTACCAACACCCTGGGCAACCCCTTCCATTACCAGAAATTGTGCAGCTTGATCGACCAGGTAAACCATGGATAGAAAAGCCCAACTCTCACTGTGAAACTTGCTGCATGCACAACCCAAGCACGTGTGCCAGCCTGCTGGGCTGTACCTTACCCTAGGCTGGAAACAACCTCCCCATCCTTGGGAAAGTCTCCCACTATATAGACTTTTTAAAAAAATATATATATAGTGACTCCTAGAAAAAATATAAATATATATATTTTTTTTTTTTTTTAAAAAGACCCCAAGTCTGTGCACTTATTTAGGGCAGTTTATCCCTCATTGAAAAACATCACCTGTCGTGTTCTCACTATCTGGTAAAACAGGTGTGACTGCACGTACCTTATAATGTGACTCTGTCTCCTCTTCCTGAGTAGAACTGGAGGGAGATGGCGTGGCAGATTTACTTCCCGGGGGTGATGGGGAACCGTGGGTGACACCACTCCTCATCCCCATCTGAGAAATCAGCTGTGACTGGCTGAGCGCGCTCATGGGGCTGGCTAACATCCCGGGGCGATTGATCAGGGGCACTTGACGGTTGGACTCATAGGATGTGGCATCCGAGTGGACCATCTCCTGGATCTGAGTTAGGAGAATATCACTTTGTAATTAAAAAAGGTATTTATTTATTTATTCGACTGTCAAAGCACTTTAAGATGAATTCAAATTATTCTACACAGCTGGTAAAGTCTTCCTCGTGTCCCCTTCCAAACAAGCCAAGAGCAAGAACTGAGTACCATGCACTTGGAGCTCAGCCCTGCCATCACCCTGCCCACAGGGACTACATAGAGGTGCTAAATAGTCTTTGTACATAGGTCTGGGTGGCCAGGACGTGCCCTGCCTGCCTCAGGGACCAGTGGTGCCTGGCATCTACCAGGGGTCTGAAAGAAAAGTTCAGAAATTAGCATTTTTTTGCTAAATCATGGGGAGAAGGGAGGACGTTGCAATGTCCCGGGCATTTCTGAGGCCAAGCCTTGCTGCTGCACACGTGAGGCCATTGCTCAGCACCAGCACGTGTTGTGCCAGGGTTGACACTCCAGCCCTGGGACATCAGTGAAGTCAAGGCTGTGGATCCCAAACGTGCTCTTTCTGAGCAATACTTAGTGTTGACATTTAGTAACTGCATAGGTGTAAAAATATCTGCTTGTCCGAGTTTATGAAGCTACCACAACCAACCTTCTTGCATCCTCCGCACAGCTGTCGGGTTGCTAGTGCTACTGGGGTTAAACCCAGATGCAGGAAGCACAAAAGCAGTCAGTGGAAGCCCCAGGTCTCTGTTCCCACCATGCTGGTCTGCTCAAAGCTGTAACACTACCATCAAGCCAGAGGTTTGTACATCCCTGAGCACCACAACTTGTCCCAGGACAGACCCCAATGCATGGGGGCAAGCTTTGTTGGTGGCCACCACCTTATTACAACTCCTCCTGGAGATGAGTCTTACAATTTTAAGTCTTGCCATCAGTTCCAATCCCACTCAACATGAATGGAGCAGAAAAAAAAATAAATAAAAATATATATATATATTAATCCAGACAAGGGCAAAGAAAATTATGGGCAAAGAAAATTAAGATTTCCTAGTGAGGGAAGGAACCAGAAGAATCACCACATGCATGTAGATGAGAGATGAGGGAGGCAGCTATGTGATAGAGCTGTCCCTAAAAATGAAGAGTTTCCTGATTCCTATTTATCTGTTCTCATAATGTGAGTGAGGGGACATCTGATGGGACTGAAAGGTGGCAGATCACACACGGCTGCTGGGATACAGGGACACACAGGCCACGGGCACGAGCGCTGCCTCCCGAGGCTGATGAGCCCCATGCTCTTGATAGATTCCACCTGAAATTCAAAATAAAAATGAAACATATATATATAATTCAAATATATATATATATATAAAAAATTCAAAATAAAAATGAAACATATATATATAATTCAAATATATATATATATATAAAAAATTCAAAATAAAAATGAAACATATATATTTATATGGCTAATAAGCAACATCAAATGCTACTTTAGACAAAATACAAATAGCTAGTGGAGTGTATATCCCCTCATACACCAAAGTTGAAGTGGTTGGGTCAGGCAGGAGCAGCAACAACCCCCTGTACTGGCCAAGGACGGAAGATGAGGTGAGATGAGGACAAACTCAGCCACGTTGCAGACGCATGGAAGGTTTTGGGGCTGCCTTGCTGTCTGTTGAGCCAAGACCTCATTTCCAGTTTGTCCCATTTTCCCTGACAACCCCATTTTCACCCCAGGATCCACCTGCCCAGCCACCCCCCAGCAGCAGGGCTCACCCCACTGCAGCCCCATGGGCACAGCCTGGGAGGGAGATCCAACCCTGCCTGAAACCTTTTCCAGACTTTTTTTTTCCCTTTTATATTAATCTGATTAATGTTAACATGAGTTTAAAGACCTAGGCTTTATTTATTAACAATCTTCATTTCCGATAAGCCCGCTGAGGTGTGATCTCTCATTACCCAGGGAGTTTTGCCAACTCCATTAGCAGCTCATACAGAGAGAAACCCAGGGAAGACCTGCAAGGGCTCGGTAGGCTTCAGAGGAAATAAATCCAGATTTACTGCTGCAGGTCAGGAATCAAGAGCTTTACACAACACCTGCCAGCGTGTTCTGCTCCCTTTTGGATTCTCCATCAGCAGAGGAGTGTGTGTCAGGGGAATAGATTTTCCTGGATCTGCCCTTTTTCTGTGTTAATTACAAAGTGCAGGGATTTAACTTGCAGGAGGAGAAAAATGTCTTGCATTCAAGACCTGCCTGGATGCCCTCCTGTGTGATCTCATTTAGGTTCCTGCTCTGGCAGGGGGGTTGGACTGGATGATCTTTCGAGGTCCCTTCCAATCCCTGACATTCTGTGATTCTGTGATTTCAACAGCACTGAGGCTGACCCAGGCTGAATTGCTGTCCTCAGCTTTGGAGGCTGCAAGGCAAGACCAGCTTACAGAGGTTGCAGGGTTGGCTTTGTTCCATCGTGGAGCTGAGGAAACTCACTGCTGCTTGAAGTACGACAAGTTTAATGTGCCCTTAAAACCTGCCTTATCGCAGAGGTCTGGTCCATCCTGGCCACATGCTGCTGTGTGAGAAATCCTGGCCAAAAAGATACTAGAATCATAGAATCACAGGATGTTGTGAGT